TAGCAGAGGCCCCTCTAGTCCCTGGTGCGCTCTCTCTCTCGCTTCATCTGCAGCGCAGCCTTAGCTAACCAGCGAAGAGCAGAGGTAGGAAAGCAGAGCAGTGACAACAGCTTCACCAAGAAGGTAGTTTTGCTCTGGGGCAGCGTTAATGCCAGGAACCACGGTCCTATTGACTGTATCCTCTTTAAAAGGCAGGTGTAACGGCCGAGTGCCAGTACCAGAAGCAGCTCTTTGGTACCTAAACCTGGGACTGTCAGATGTTCCAGCCCTGCCTACCTTAAGGGAAAAGTAACAGTTCCACACAACTTCTCATGCCGTCTTACTTGCTGCAGAATTTCAAGTGAGGTCCTGCCCCACAAAACGTCTGTATCTGAGGCAACAGATAGATACAGCGAAGTCACAAAAAAACTATAGCCTCAGATTTCCAACATCCCTGGAAATGCTAGGAACCCCGCCCATTACATCAAGTAGTAACGTTTGTGTTTTTGCGGAAGATGTTGGGAAATGTAAATCCAGGTGACCCAACTTGCACTTTGAGGCTGCTTACCTTGCTTATACTGACCTTCTTCCTTGTTAACGGCCTGTCAGTCCATCCCACCGCACAGTCCTTGACATACTCTGATTGCAAGAACACTCCTCTTTCTGGAGTGAATGGTCAATACCAGTGGTTGAAAACCTAGAGGCTGGGTTTGATGGACGAAGCAGGCTGATTTGCTCTAGCCAGGGCAGCCAAGCACCAGCTAAATTAAATCAAAGATTTAATTGCAGTGAGGGACGTTTTTCTTGCTGCTGTTGCTCGAGTGCGCCTCTATTGACTTTGCCACTAGCGCTGCCTAGGAAGGAAAACACCCCTAACCGTCGCCAAGCCTGGGTGAACACTGGGGGAATGTGAGACGCTGCTGCCGTTTAAAGCAAGAGGCTCTAATCCATATTTAAGGATGGCAATTTTAGAGCATAAGCATTAAGGAGGAAGCACACCAAGCTATGACCCTGGACAGTCTTTCAACACTGGTACACGGTAGCTCTAACACACAGGTAGGTTTGACAGCAAAGCACAGAGAACCTAAAGAGGAAGAGCCCCTGGGTTCCCCCCTGCCATTAACTAGGCTGTCAGATGTCTGACTTACAGAGAAAATGTTCTCTCTAGCTGTAATTAAGTACTTAAATTACAAATTGGCTATGAAACAGAGACCTCAGTAAACCCCTGCCCTCCCCTTCAATTTGTTCCTTATTTTAGCACTAAGGCAAAGGCCGAAGGCAAACAGCATCCTTACAGCCTTTGCAGGGGTCACCAAATTTGTACCACCCGCATGTCTAAAACCTAATACAGGGATACTTACTCCATAACCAAGATGAAAAGAGCAACAACAACACCCCTGCAGTTAATGCAGAAGCCTTGCTTGAATTCCAGGCAAAGAATCAGTCTGAGGTAACCCAAACCACAACAACTTGCATTCAGTTTAAACCAGGATTTTTCATATCATGAACACAGTGAACATTGTGCTCGCACCGCAACACCCGACATCATTAAGGAAAAAAATACTTCACATTAGATTATTTTGGTAGATGTGAAAACATCAGATCGCAAACTATATCCTTCATTTTATTATCATCACTGAGGTACAGAGCATGAGAGTGAGTAGTGACATTGCCAAGTCTAACGTTATCACAATGGCGACCTGATACACTGACACGTCTCCACGTGGAGACCATTTATTTCTTGATCAAAACATTCAGCTTTAAAACTGTGAAAAGGAAAGCTGAGGAGCTGGGCTGACCCAAGGTTTTCTGACTTGCAGTCCCGAGTGGGAAAGATGATCCTGTAACTCATAAGGTGTTGCAATAATTTAAGACCGCTTTGTGTTCCTCACAGCACTGAAAAAAGGTGATGGCAACGCATTTTAGATTGTAAGTCATTTGACAATATACACTTTATTCTGATACAAAATTGAAGTATTTTAACAAATTTCAATCCATTATGGACTATACTGAAATTTTTAATTTCCATGCTATTTTTAAACTTGTTTAACCACAAGTTCTAAGATTTCAGCACACTAGCACCATTGCTCTTGAAGTCTTTGCCAGTTATTATAACATATTATTCTGTTTCCAATCTTGCGATATTATCTTCTACATGAAGGCCATTTTTCTTCTACGGAGATACTTGCATTACTTTAGTTCAGGAAAAAGCTAATCTTAGATAGAGATGTCAACCTGTAGCACCCACAGCAGAAAAAGAATCATCCATCAGATATCTGAATTTTAGTGATACTCAAGATCTTTCATGCTCCACACAATTTAAGATACAGACACTTGTCAGAGACCACAGACTGATACGCAAGTGGATATTCCACCGCAGTGTAGACAGCATATGAAAACACGTTAACGTCTTAAACACAGGAACCAAAGACAGCACGTCAGTACAGCACACAATTGATGCTTGAAAGACTAGAAGCATTCCCCTTCCCGCCTTAAGTATTTAAAAGGATATCACAGTTAAGATGCTGTGTTTAATTTCAGCGTTCTATAATAACGAAACACTTAGCACATCTGCATCAACCTGGGCCCCTTTTGGGGAAACACATTTTTACTACCTGGAAGTACCATTTGCTTTTAGATTAACACACAGGTTTAGGTATCAAATAAACTTCCGTAGACCTGCAGCTGAGGAACCAAACCTTCGTTAGCTTTACATCCTTACGCCCCCGTCTCCATTTACGGCTGCTATTTTCAATAGCGGCCACTACAGAAAAACCTAGCCATGAAACAATGTTCTTAACTCTTGGAAGTGCCTCTCGGACAAAGATACACTTGACCCGAGAGAGAAACTTGACCTTAAGGAGAAACACTCCTTAAGGATGTGTTTATCTTTGACAAGGTTTATTTCTGAACAAACTGGGGTATGAATAATTGAAATTAAGCAAATTAGTTTAACAAGAGCCTGAGAAATCCAAGTGTGAAAACAATTCTAACAGTGAGTATCTCGTTCTATACACGGTGCAAAAAGACCCCTCCGGAGCACAGAACAAGTCTGCAGCAATGTAGAATCCTCCGACGTTAGGGAAAGGTAGAGCTTTGCTCTATACACAGGCCTAGTAACGGGATGCAAACGAGAAAGTTTTTGTTAAAACTGGCAAAGGTTTTCCACCTCTAGGTGTCAGAGAGCAAGCTTGTCACCTCAGCAACAAGCTGTCTAGCATACTGCACTAAGGAGAGACTGGGACCTTACTGCAGCAGTTTTGAATTTTGGCTCAGCCTTGGCTACCCAAAAATGTTTGTCAGCGATTTTTTTAAAATATATACAGTCATTGTGAGGTTTCCATTAAGTAGCTCCCGGTTATATGAAAATCTTGACATTGCCATTGTAAATTACTTCCAAGTTAACTTTCAGTTGTATGTGACAATGTCAAGAGCTTGCTTTCTGGATGTTTACAGACAGCAGGTAACAAGTTTAAATGCTTGAATCAGTCTGTGAACATGCCTAAGCCCCGGGTTAAACTGAAATGCACAGGTTCTGTTAGACTTTATTTTGAGTAACTGAAGCATAACCAACTCTAAAATAGAAACTGGCATCACAGAAGTAGTGCACAGACTCAGTAACGTATTGGTAAGTTTAAATAGGTACTAGTCTGCTATACAGAGGACTTAAAAATATCCCAGACCTGTAACAATCGAAGGTGCAGAAAAGGAAATAGGTGTTCCAAGAGTTAAGAACCAACGTGCCTAAAAGCGGATTCCACGGAAAGTTCTTTTATTGCCATTCATCTGTATAAATGCAGTCGTGCTTTCAGCTGGGCATCACGTGACAGTGTTCGCCTCCACTAAACTACCCTGCCTGAAAGCAGCGAAAATCTGAAAGGGAACTCTCTGATTTGTACGGACAAATACAAACCCACCTGGTAAGCCAAGATTAATTTATTAGGAGGGACATCACTGCTCTAAGCAATGCAAAGCGCCTTTACAGAATGACTGCAGCAGCAGCGCATCACACACAGAGTTGTGACAAACCGCTTCAGTGTCTTCACCTTTCTGGGCTCCTGCAAGGCGCCTCTTTCTATAAAGAAACAAAATTCCTTTCCCCTCATCCCTCCCCAGTACGCTCCCCACAGAAACTAAGAGCACATGTTTCAAGACATTTATCACTTCTGTCTTGCCGATCTCACGCACAGCAGTTTTGTACCTGCCAGGAAGAGAAGATTCTTGAATAGCAATTATGCCAGCAAGCAACCCTCATCCAGAGCAGGAAACGCTGGATGACATATGCTGGAATACTTGCTCCTTAGTACTTAAGGCTTTCCTCGATATTAAAAGGCTGGCAAAGGAAAGCCTAGAAGGAAATAAGGGTTAAACAAGTGTTTTACTATGCACTACAAGTCTTACCCAGTCAGAAACCTTCAACTGAAGAGGATGTGCAAGACATTCCCCATTTTGTCAAGCAGCAGCTTCTCATTCAACCTGAAAATTAAAGAAATTACTCTTACCTTGTTTAAAAACCTCCCGCTACTCTTTTTAATTCATGAAAAATGTTAAAGGCAAACCTTACCTATGCTCATTGCCCTTCCTTTCAGGTCTAAACGCTAGACCTATTGATTTTGAGTCAACTCAAGTAGCTATCACTCAAGGAGGTTCCAAAAGGTGAAGAACTCTTGCTAGACTTTCTTCGATATTTCAGCTGTGATAAGCGGATTTAACTAGCCTTTGGAAAGCTGCTCACTATCAGCACAGTATCTTATGCCTTCACTTTTCTGGAAGTTGAAGCTGTTGCTCCTGCTGCCTTGTCATTCTTTAATTATGCTGACTTCTCCATACTCAATAGGCTGCTGAAGTCCTGTCTTATGAGTCTCCTTAGCAAAGTATGGATCAAAGAAGTACATCCTAGGTTCTTTAAAGCTGGTTAATCACTGTCCTTACGCTTTTCCACATCACAAACAACAGCTAAGCTACCCCACCCGCCTACAAAGCGATCACTTACATCCATCTCTTAAAAGGTTGCGTACAGATCTTGTTCATAAAGTTTATTATGACACTATTTTTCAAAGTTAACATTGTTGTCACAGTACAGCTACAAGAGGCCCTGTTAAAAAGAACACTGTCAATACATTCTAAAAAAATTTAGAAATACCAGATCAATTGTCAGAAGGGACATCAACCCCATCCTCCAGTTGTCCCTGCAATCAGATGCAGGCCCCAGGTACAAGTCTACACATCTTCTAGGCGTAGCAACGTACAAAGCAAGTCGGTAGTTAGGTGGCTCACTCCCTAGTGAGTTGCGGTTTAGTTTTCAATGTTTTCAAACTCCAAATGGGTTGTTTAAAAAATGCCTTTATTGAAACACAGCCTCCCCCCCCACCCCAAGCCCAAATTAGTATGTACAACAACAGAAGCGTTCACTAAAATCACCAATTCTTGCTTTAACTTTAGAGATCTTTTAAAACTCCACGAAAAGAATAAGCAGACTTTGAAATCCAGTTTGGAGGCTACCATCTTGACACCGGTTCCTTGTTTTGGTGTACTGCGGTCTAAATACACTCCAATAACAGTGTTTAAATAACATTGTTTAATTTTTTTTTTTTTCAAACAACACACTCATTTTTCTACTACTTCTTAAAATTATAATTCATTATTAATATGACTGATTATGCCTCGAGCCATTTCATACATCTTTGCAGATTCATTCCTACACTGGAATCGCATTTACCTTATACTGCACATTGACCCAGAAGCGAAACAGGTGTGAATAATTCCAATAGCATATTGTCAAGTGTCTGAGTATTTCTTCTATTGACTGGGTCCCTACTCTTCTGAGTCTGAATTGACAGAAAGCTCTGTCCTGGCAATAGTCGAGAGAGAATTCACATCAGCTGAGAACAGGACAGAGCGTAGTGCCTGAATTTGGAGGTCACAAGTGAGAATCGAGTACAATTTCTAGCCATATGTGCTGATAAGATTTGCTACTCCAGTGCATCAAATCAAATTGTAACACACTATCATTCTACCTGTGGAAACTCAAGACTGTACCATTCTACATCGTGGGAAGTGTTTCTAGTCAGTAAAATACAACTAGATCGTGTTTCGTTTTATCTTCGAGCTCTTAGCTGAGCGTAGACATTCGCAAGGGCAGAAGCTTCAACACTATACTACTTAGAGCCCATCGTGAACGGGCTTTTGGAACGCATTACCTGGGACTGTCAGTGATTACACCTGTGCTACCCTTGGCTCCCAGTCAGAAGAATGTGTCCAGAAAATTGCCTAGGGTGCATGCAAGAAAGTATATAGCCATTAAGTTATTGAGGAACACACCTATTACTCTCACTATGACGCCTCATTTAATTGAAACAGCGCAGTCTGGTGTGAGGGAGAGGGAAACGGGGACAAAGGAAGGGGATGAAAATTCCAAGCCACCCTCCCCAAAGTATAGTTTTATTGAAACAGAATCATTGTATATCCCAAGGAAACAGGCACTTGATTCCCCCCACCTTAACTTCTCGGGAATTACAATAAATATAAAGGTAAAAAGCAAGTTTCTTTTTCTCTTCACCCAAGACTTAAGCAACTGCAGTTATCCCTTATACATCTCAAATGAGACGGGAGACAGCTTTAATGTGTCTAAAGTTGGTCTTGTTAAAATATTTATCATGCCTTATTTTCTTGAAGCGCTAGTACTAATACAGAACTACAAATTAAAAAAATATGCACAAACCAAAAAGTAATTTGAAGTTTTCATTAAGGTAAAGCTTAGTTCTATAATTCACAAACACTAATTTGAGTAACTCAATCCTAGTTATACATCTAAACAAACTATAATGCAACATACAGATGTTTTCCCTCTGTATGCCTATGTAACTCATGTCAATGACAGTTACATATATACACTGAGACTAGACCCCTTAAGACTGCAAATCAATAGGTGTTTCTATTGTTAACTTTAAATTAATACAAAATAGTAATTGAGAAATGCATTAATCCTCTCTATTGACTAACAAGGAAACACCCTAAACTACATTTTATTTCTGTTATAATAGAGTTCTCTGTACTAAATGTGGAAAAACTGAACTACACAAATATTGAAAAGTTAAAAATTCCTTAATTTGTTTATTCCTGGTACCACTACCACAATTTACAGGGCAATATACCTGATGTAATGGGAAAATAAAAAGAAAAAAGAAAGACAAAGCTACAACAGATAAAGACCTCAGGAATGTACATCTAATCGACACTACATTGCATTAATCAATAGCTGCACTTTTTGCAAACTGTGGCTATGACAGTCCTGAACAAGAAGGGTTTCCTGTTTAAGCTGCAGTAACTTTTCTGACTATGGATCATCGTTCCTTCTGTGGCAGATTTTACAGTTCCTCTAATGCATTTGGGACGACTGTCTCAAAGTAACCTGCAGCTTTCCTGACAACTCCTCGCTCTCTCTCCTGCTAAGAACTGTAGCCTGTTGAATACAGGATAAGAAAATTATTACTCTCAGTGAACAGTTGTACATTAGTAATCATCATTATAAATATGCATTACACCTACCCTTTTTCTGGTAGCATTTTTAGAATCTTCTACCACCATAGCCCCCACTTCCACTTCCAGATCCATAACCACCTACAAAACATCGGGCGTATATTGGAATACAAGAATAACAAGAAATTTTAAACAAAAAAAAATTTCTGTACAAAATCGTATTTACCACCATAGGGACTGCCTGAACTTCTGCCACCAAAGCTGCCACCACCTTTCATGGGACCATAGTTAGACTGCTGTTGTCCACTGTAATTGCCAAAATCGTTGTAGTTTCCACTTCCACCATAATTACCTGAAACAAATGCAGATTTATAAAGCCACTTTTGTTCAACACTTAGGACATGAAGCTTGCCTAATTATGACATCCCATGTAAATGTAAATTGTAATTGTTTAAAACAGTTTAAAATAGAATTGCAAGCACCTCTACTCAAAATGCACAAATGACAGAAGATCCTTAGCATTTTGAAGATTAGGAACTGATATTTCATTGAAGATGAAAACCATCATGCTACATCAGAAAATGTATACAGGTTTGAGTAGGCAATTTGAAGTTAACACAACAGGCCAAATTTAAGGCCTCCAAACTCAGAAGAGCACATGAGTTTCAGCATCATTCTTCCACTGCCCAACGCTTTGCATGTATGACAATAATGTACACTACGTACAATTTATTTGCTCTAAAAAGTGACAGAACTGTAACAGGCATGCTGCATATAGACATCAGAGGGTATAATAAAGTATGCAGCAGATTTTGCAGTGTAACTCCCCAAACTTGCACTAGTCCTTTTGAGTTCTTACTGCTCCTTCTCCAGCAATTCTGGTAAAGCACCTAAGCTGTTTTTGTATTTGTGGGATACCCTTACCAGAAACATCCTGTCTATCATAAAAGGCCTCCATAGAAATTACCCCAGGTTTAAAAATTAACCTTATCATTCAGAAATCCCTGCAGGGAAATTAATACTGACAATGCAGAACACTGCTAAACTGATCATACAACAGGACATAGCTAGATGTATTTTGGTTAGATATTAACAGATTTTAAATATACTCAAAGGTTTACACCAGTTAAGGCTGTAAACCAGTATTATAATTATGCGACTTCCCATTAGTCTAATGACAATGTGTAATTGGCAAAAGAACTGCTTTTATAAAAATAACTGGAGTAGCTCATTTCATAGGCAAACAATACAGAAGCTTATAGAAACTTAGACGTACAGTCCTCACCAAGGAGGACGTGATCTACATGATGTGAACTGGTATCTGACAGCAGCAGTATACTTCAAATGGTCAGAAGTTTAAAAATTCTCCTGCTCTACCTCCACACAGATTTATAGCTGCTGCTTTTTGAGAAGTGAGTTCCAGGCAAAACAATGTTGTATAGCCTTATCAAAGCTGGTCCAGAGGGAAAAGAACTTTCCTTATGTAACATAGAATTCTGCATTAAGACCTAATTGTATTACTCGTTTTATGCAGTATCATACCTCAGGCATGTACAACTCAGACCTGCCTAAAAAAATAGGTGTCTAATTAAAGCTGGCATCTTACCACCACCAAAATTTCCTCCTTCATTGTAGCCGTCATATCCTCCTCCTCCACCTCCATATCCACCACCTGGGTTTCCATATCCTGGTCCTCCGCCACCACCATAACCTCCTCTGCTGCCGTAGCCAGGACCACCTCCATAGTTGCCACCTTTGAATAAAAGAAGAGTCAAACTAAATACACCAAAGCTAAATATTGGTAAGAAAATGTCCATTTAACAAAAAACCCAACAAAAACTAACAATAAAAATGTCCCACAATGTTTTCCCTGTATTATAGTCATTGTGGTTGCATAATTTATCTAAACTATTTAGTCCAAACAATAAAAAAACCCAAAACGTTGGTTTATGTACACCCTTGAAGCACGATACTTAGAAGTTCATTCTGGCTCACAAAAACACATAGACATGCTGTACCACCACCACCACCCGTTACATGTAATAACTGCCTCTTTACACAAATGGCTTTGTCAGTACTGTGTATCATCCTCTTTATTCCTCTGAACTGAAATGACTCAGTAGGCAAAGCCCGCAAAACAATTCTGGTTTACAGATTTTATCTAGACCTACAGCTGTATTTACATGTATGTCAAAGCTACTGAACATTCTTTTTTTCTAATCACATAACGCATATCTGAAATATTTAGTATTCCAGATGCTGATCTTGTCTCCAACATTTTGATGGAGTAGTTCCAAACTGGGAAATAGTTCCAAAGAACTCAACATCACTATATCTGCTTATAGAGTCAAGACATTAAGTAACTACATGCTACTTCCTTCATTTTTTCCTGCACACAAAAATGCAACTTCCACAGCCATTTGTTAATTTCCACAGTTCTCTTCAGGTCCATTTTGGATACTCATCCAAACTTCATCATGAAAAAGATACTACTGAGCCATGAAAAGTCTTACAGTTGATTGAAAAGATTTCTGATATGTTAGTTGGCCACTGCTTTATTCAGTTTTAGTCATCTCAACTGACAACAGAATCTTCATTTAATTCTCAATAATCATCAACAGCTGCTGCACGACCTCATGACATGAGATTATTTAAAGGGTAAATATAGAGGAATTTTTTTTTTCTACCCATCATTTTGTGGGGAAAACCAAAAACCTTTAACTCTTCATAGCTCTACAATGTAGAAAACATTATCACCACAAGTAGACTTGGTTTCCAAGGTGAAGGCAAGACTTACAGCTGGTTATAACATTGGGGGGGGGGGAAATCGAACAATACACTTACCATCACCAAATCCATTGTATCCGTCACCACCCCCAAAGCTTACTCTGCTCCCACCACCGCCACCACCACCCCCATAGCCTCCTGGAACACAAAACAGATGAGAATGTTTTCCTGAATACACGTGTTAAGTGTTTAAGCCAACTGACAGAGGAAATAAAAAAACAGACACCACATTCTATATAAACATTCCTGTCATTTACCTCTTCCACCAAAGTTTCCGCCTCGGCCAAAGTTCCCTCCACCGCCTCCGAAGTTTCCACGACCCATGAAGTTGCCTGAGCCACCCCCACGACCTAAAAAATATTTTACTTAAATTACATTAATTGAAAACCAGTTACATAAAATAACCATGTACAACTCCAAACTCACCTCTCTGAGAGCTAGCAGTCTGCATCTCTTGTTTTGAGAGTGCTTTTTTCACTTCACAGTTATGTCCATTTATAGTATGGTATTTCTGAACTAGAGAAAATTGTGAAATAGGAAAGAGATAGAAAATCAAATCATTGAAAGCAATATGCTGTAGAACTCTTATAGAAAGCTACTGTAAGGCATGACCACACTTTCAAAAGGAACATTAAATCTACCCCATCTCTTACAACAGTCAAGCAGTTGATTATGCCAACATCCTACATTCCACACACTGCTGTTCTGAAATCGAACGTTACACTTTTATCCCGAAAGTAATTTCTCACTAAAGTTACATACCAACAATTTTATCAACTGTATCATGATCATCAAAAGTTACAAAAGCGAAGCCTCTTTTCTTTCCGCTTTGCCTGTCTTCCATGACTTCTATGGTTTCAATCTTGCCGTATTTTTCGAAGTACTCCCTTAAATTATATTCTTCTGTATCTTCTTTAATTCCACCAACAAATATTTTCTTTACTGTGAGATGTGCCCCAGGCTTTACAGAATCCTACAATGCCAAAAATGACATTCAGTGTTTTAAATTATTAGGTAAAGATTAGGAAATTAAGTTAACTGAAACACTAACTTACCTCCCTCGAAACTGCTCTCTTTGGTTCAACCACGCGTCCATCAACCTTATGTGGTCGAGCACTCATGGCAGCATCCACCTCCTCCACACAAGAGTAAGTCACAAAGCCGAAGCCTCTGGAACGTTTTGTTTGTGGGTCTCTCATCACCTGCAAAAACATAGGGGGTACTCTGCATTTCTGTACTAGATTAAGTACCTATATCCTTTCAAAAGCACAAACTAATATTTGACAATTTACCACACAGTCCGTGAGTGTGCCCCATTTTTCAAAGTGCTCTCTCAAGCTATCATCTGTTGTTTCAAAGCTCAGACCTCCAATGAACAACTTTCTCAACTGCTCCGGCTCCTTTGGCTCATGGCCCTACAAAATCAAAAATCAAAAACGTATTTTGAATACAAACCACAGAGTTAAAATTTCACAGAATTACTAAAAAATTATCTGTGCACATTATAACTAAAATAGGTGGAATACATTTACATAAAAACAATGACTTCTAATGGGTTTAGACAGCAGCATAGTAAACGCTTAATGAGGTGTGATTTTAATTAAAACACTAACTAACTAACAATTTAAAGAGTGCTCAAATGCAAAAAACAGTAAAGAGATTTCAATATACTAAATAATTTGGTTGCTCCCCACCCCCCCAGAAGTGCATTCATTTTATGCCTATCTTATGTTCGAGTTGCATATTGCTCTGTAGGGATTAGCAATGAAGCATTGCTAGATAAAGGGAAGTTCTAACGCTTTACGAAGCATAATCATGAGGAACTATAAAAAAATTTAAGAACACAGTGTACAAGAAAAAAAGATTATTGTCCAAATTGAGTGTCTAGTCTTTTGGGATATCCATTTTGAAAGGTTATTTTTATGCATTTTCATGAAATTTATCAATTCTTAATTCCTTAAAATGGTAAATTTTGTACTCGGATAATTTTGTAAGTTGAGTGCACGCAAGCAAGAAAGCAGAAGTATGTATGTCATTTTCAGTTATGGGAAATACCTCTTAAATGTGAATCAAATGGACTTATATCTTACAGATAACAAAAATGTCTTGAATAATGACTAATCAATGACCAGTGGTAGGTACAACTACTGGAATACGACTGGTACCTTAACAAGCATTGTAAAACAAGTTTAACTGAACTTCCTGACTATCACCTATGTATGACCAGCCAGTTCTAAATGTGCTAATTTTCAGAGTTTAGTTTTCTATCGCATGATTAAAGTGAGCTTACAAGTGCATTAGTGTTTCTGCTCTTTCAGCGTTGTATGCTTTAGTTAGGCAGGGAGCATTCCCACACATTTGCCAGGAGCTTATGAAAAATCATTTTACAACTTTCTACCATCCCCAAGACAGAGAAGTCTTACAAAAAGCAACCAGATTAAAATCTTATTTAGCAAGCTGGTACTTTTGTGCATGTAAAACAATCCACAACAAGGTGCTGGCTAGCTATGCTGCATACGACTTCAATTCTGCAGTATGAATGCGTAACAGGCTTCAGTTTCTGCTGCAGTGGGTTAACCTGGACTAGATGCAGCATTAGCCTGAGAGCTGAACTACATAAAACCAGACACAGACTCCTACATGTAGATGTCTTGCTTCAAACCTGAAGGTGAAGTGCTTTGACCTCTGCCACAGTTTGAATAAAGGGGAGAGTGGTGCTAGAGTTGGTCAGAAAAGCGTACATCCCTTTGAGTGCAACACAACCACCCTGAAGAGCAATGAATATTGTAAAGCAATACATGGCAGAAGACAATTTCTGAATTATATATTGCTTTAGGAAACCATTGGTTTATAATATTCAGGTTGTACTACAGGAAACAATGCCTAAGATTATGAAAAGCTGGCTGGGAAGTAGATCCCTGCTCTTACACCTACTAAACTTCGCGAGAAAGAGTCCCAGCATCTTCAGTAACTACTTTATATTTAAGGCACTAACTTTGTTAATACAGGAACATTATATAAATGATTGACAGTCAATGGTTCTGTGACTACAAAGTAAAGCTTCTTTTCTACGGTCTTCCAAGTGGTCTGGACTACAGAAGTATAATAAAAAAAAAAATCTCCCTTCTAACTACATGTAAACTTAAAATCTTACAGGGTAACACACCTACTGTATATAGAAACTGCTTTAGGTTAAGTGAAATACTGTTTTCTGTTGCCAATTGCATTTTTTTTTTAATCTACTGACACTACTTAATTTTTAGCTGGGTTATGTTAAAGCTGGGAACATTAAGTGTTTCAAACTCTCCTATGTATATTAAAGGAAATCTATTATGTGAAACTGTAGAGTTTAGACCTCTCCAAAACAAAAAACCTATATAAGGAAAAACTGGACAGACTTTTAACGGTTCTCTGACACCCCTCAAGGCTATGGGGTTTTCAGTTAGCAACTCAGGACTGCTTTTACCTTAAAAGAATGACCACAGAACTCTTCAGGTCACTCCTGAAAGGAAAAGTGAAGTCCTTTTCTGCTTATTTTTATTATGTGCCCATAAACTGCCATTCTCATATGGGAGGAAAAACACTTGCTGCTACAGCTTCTCTCTTCTATCGGAGAGAAATTATCCTCAGGACACACCTGTGTTATAGGAATTCTCCACAGAAATAAAAGGCAACATTTTCTTAGAGAATTAGTTGTTTTTTTCAGACATTCTGTTCTCACTGGGGATAAGCATCTCTAGGATTTTCAGAGTGCTGTCCTCTATCACACAAGATGTTGTTTCTCAGTCCTTCTGCTGCAAGCTAGTTATAACAGCAGTCTCTCCTGGGCAGCAAACCTTGCACAACACATCTCTCCCATCCTCCCTGGTGTAACTACCACACTGCTTCAAGAAGATCAGCAGGCTCCCTCCCATTCAGCTGATACTGCTGGCCAACACGCCATTTTGCAGCGCT